GGTGTAGAAAATGTGAACTTAGTATCAATATATTTTATCTAAAAATATAGTACACAAGTAGGTACATCGTGTTATGTGTACAAACAAATTTAGGACTTACATAATATGGTGATGTCAAAAAAATATACGATATTATTAATATAGAGGCAGGTACGTCATAGAAAATTGAAAATATTGTACATAATTTATGTTTTGGTATAGATATTTGGTGACTAGGTATTCGAAGGTATGATAAATTTTCAATAAAAAAAAGTTTGGGCATCACTGTGACATTGTATATTATTTTGGTAGGCAATTCAACGAATCGTGTTATTTTTCGTTTCGAAATCGTTAAATATTATTTCAACCGTTTGTATTATACTGCACAGCTGCGGTAACATGGGGTCGGCAGATGATGGCCACAGGTAGGTAGACTCCCTAAATGTATAAATTATGTCTCTATATTATATGAAATGCCTTTCAACAAATATATTCTCCCCTTTGTCAACACGGTAGGAGAGCAAGAATGTGGGTCTTGCCTGCACCCTCTTCGAGAACGACAATACAGTGAGGGTTTTTTACAACCATATTTAAAGGCATTACACGTTTCGTTTTCGATTTTATTATCTTCACTGCATCTGCCTCAACCAATATACCGAGAATTTCTTACAATAATACCAAACGATTTCGGCATGATATATTTTGTTTCTGTTAGCCTAAAGCAATATATTATTCTGTTTAATATAATCATTTTCATTCGCCTACAACATGCAATAATATATAATAGTTACAATAATGCATAAAAAGCTATTTAATCAAGTCTTGAATTTAATATATTAAAAAACTCTAAAAAAATAATTATAATAGGTATATACAAGAACTTAGAATTAAATGCACTATAAAAATATAGTCTTATTTAAAAAACACATTAAAAATAGTTTATATCACGTTTAACGATCTATATTAAAGATAGGTACGTATTATTTATTCCTATAAAGTCTTGATTGTTATATAATATATATTGATTATTAAACCGACGTACCTATATAATATTCTTTGCATAACAGTTATATAGCTATATTTATTATAAACGTTTGGAAAAATAATAACCAATTTCGAGTATATTATAATTATTTTAATTAATGATTGTAAAAAACAAAAAAAAAATGTTTAATAGAATTAATCATGTGAACTCTGTAATGACCCATTATATTATCAAGCCTTATGAAAAATTTCATATATATAGAATGACATCATTAGAGTAAACTATTATTATCTCCCTTGCACTTTTGATCTCGAAAAGGTTCTTTGTTTGAATTATTACAATTTTTAGTGGGTACGTGCGAGATCACACAGGAACATCATATTATAATTAATCTAAAACCGTCAAAGTATTACTAAACGAGTTTCTTTGAATCGAAAAGAGGTGATCGTATGATGCAATATATATCGATGATTACGAGTCATTAATTATTGCTTAAGCTGATGAAATTTATATATATTGTTACATAGGCTGTATTCGGTTGTTGTAGGTATATCACAAAAGAAATACGTAAAAAATAATTAATACAAAGAATTTATCTTCAAAAAAATTTCAGTAATTCGTTATTTATACGATAAATGATAATTGTTGTCGAATATAATCATGCGCGTGACATATACATTTTTAATCATCATACTTATATTCATATGCGGTAATAGTTAAATTGAAAACATTTTTTTTCTAATTCTAAACGTACTTATATTGAAACTATATCATAGAAACTCTATTAAATCATGGGCTTAGTAATACGATTAGGTACGGTCCTGTTTCGTACGATTTTAGAATGTACTTCAATAAGTAGTTCTCTGCTCAACGTATAGGTATATAATCGACACTTTTAGAGTATGTCATTTGTTACAGAGACAAATGGAAAATAATAACTACATGATGGGCTGCTCTACAAATAGATCTCATAGATTAGGGACAATACAAATCATGAAATCGTTTAAAAACTATTAGAAGATATTTTATATAACCTCAAAAAAAAACCACTAATTAGACGCTGTGTGACACTGAGCATTCGCATGTTTGAAATTAAAAATCAATCAATTATTTTTACAATTTATTGAAAAAGGTTAGGTTGATTGACCGCAGTCTCCGTTCAAAATAATTTTGTATAAATGAAAAATGAAATATGATTGAATTCAAATTTAACTCATGCATTACGGCGACACCTATATACAGTTGAGCGATATTCACTTGACCAGCTATTTTTTGGAAATCATATAAATACGAGTACGTCAATTTTTCATTAATGCAATAATAGGAAAAAGGTACACGTAGTTGTACTAGAGTATTATATATAGTATATACTCGACACTTGCAGTTTAAACATTATCGACGAACATTTTATTGCTATAAACTTAAAAATATTCAATGTATCTATTCACAGTAATATACAGTATACATATAATTCTTCATAGGAGAGAGACGCATTACTTATTATTATTTTATATAAATGAGATTTCACGGATTTGACAGTGGCTTCCCAGAGGCAGCTGAAGTGTGAAGAGTGCGATGTTTTAAAATGCCACCACGTACCAAATTTATTTAAAGTGTTTTGTAGTTTTTCCTGGTGAACTTCTGATAAAAATAATTTTTTTTAATTCTTGTAGCTGACGATTCGCGCCGAAAAAATTGGTGACATTATCAGAATAAATATCTGTGCGCATATACCGCGACAGGTCAAAAAAAGCGATTGAGCGCATTCAAGAATGTTTCAGTAGTCAAATTACTTTGCTTTACAAAACACAGAGTCATATAGGTACTCTCCCTTGTGAAAGTTATATCTACATTGCGTGGGCAATAACCAAATCTATTGAAATAACAGATGAAATTCGATTTATAAACAATGGATTAGCATTTTTTTTATCTGAAATGATATATAAACTGAATGGGATTCAAATTCAGAAACTCGCCAACCCTGGTATAACTTCGACATTAAAGGATATTACTCGTATAATAAATCAGATATTGTTTTACACTATAACGCTGCTTGGGATGATGATATTAAAAATATTAATAAAAATTTTATCGAGAGCGGTAGGTATGATGTTTAACGGATGTATTAATCTCAAAAATTTGTTTGGGTTTTGCGAAGACTATAAACGTATTTTAATAAACTGCAATCAACAACTGATATTAAATAGAGCGTCGTTAGATATAAATGTGGTTAAGCGGTATAAAAATTATGAAGTTGTTGAAAATATATATATATAAGTATTTGTAGTACTTTTCCACGACTACAAGACATTTAGCCATTTGTGGCCTTTTTTTTTCTAACCTTAATACACATTTGGGTAGGTATGTACTACTGTCTAGGCAAAATATGTAAGTTTTTTAAACATGCAAAAATGTAGTTTTTTTAAACAAGTGACATATAAAATTATCTATATACTGTAGTTAGATATCATAAATTATAAATGAACGTATGAAAAATTAAAATAAAACTTAAACAATGAAAATCGACAAAGATACTATATACATGTATTACAATAATTATTGAGAGTTCTGACACTTGTAGGTAAATCAAAATTTTAATTCAGTGGACAACGTAAAGGATATGATATTACAGATTAGGGAAATAATCCATCTGTAATTATCGAGTATTTTTTTTTAAACCATTATAAATACCTATAGGTAGTTACACTAATATTATATTTTATAATATTACCATAAATTAAACGTAACACATATTTTACGTACCTAGTCGATTCATATAACGAATTTTAAGTGACAGCGAAAAGAAGTACGCAATACTACAATACATGTATTATATTAATCGAAAGTGTGTTACATCGAATTTTATGTCAACAATAGAACATAAATCAACAAAATTCGTTATAAGGTTTATGAGAATTGTAAATATATAAACGCTATAAATAATTGGTATTGTGTCGATTACTGTCATATTTTACGATATGTTTGTAGTTAGTACTTACTATGGTACTATAATATATGATATAATTGTGTGTTTTCCATGCGTGAGACAGGTTTTCTTGGATATACACTTAATATAAAACTATCTCATAGGTATCTAACACGACATCTATCAGTGAAGTATTAAATTTACGCATTATTTCGAATGGGCTTGAAGGGGCGGTGAACAAATTAATAATAATAATAATAATAAAAATAAAAATGGCCATATAATATAAAACTATCTCATAGGTATCTAACACGACATCTACCAGTGAAGTATTAAATTTACGCATTATTTCGAACGGGCTTGAAGGGGCGATGAACAACAACAATAATAATAATAATAATAATAATAATAAAAATGGCCGCCATCAATCTGTTTGGACGAGACAAAATCCCGAAGGGAAAACGAGGTACTCCTCTTCTCAGCACCGCCAACCGGCCCGTCTCAATTCTTGGTAACTTGCAACAAGTATTACCGCTTGTTGAGCACGAAATATCGCGCGCCAAAAACGACGACGGCTCGCTCTCAAAAACATGACGCGTCTCTTGCTTCTCCTACCAGCCGCTACGCGCGCATCGTTCTCGACCAAAAATCCGTATGACTGATGTGGTATACAGATGCGGGCAAAAATTAACAGATTAAAATCCGAAACGGATTATTCGAGTAAAACTACTGCTCGGACATCGACAAATTTAATGATTAGTGATTACCAATCGTTAAAAAAATACTCGCCGCGTAAACGCGATTACCCAATATGGCCGACGTCGCGGATCAGAACCGTTACCAACACACCGCGGCCAACATCTCCAACCGCCGGATAAACGGCGCGGCGCACCGCACCGTATGACGTCACGTCGAATCGCGACGGCTCGCCGCCGCCTTATCGCTGTGCTCCTCGGACCGCGCGCATCGATTACCGATCCCGCGCCGGGACGGCAAAAGCGCGGAATACGATTTTATTACGCCGCCGATATATAAAAGCCGATCGTCGGCAATGATATGACCGGCGACGGCCGATAACCGAGCGTACCTTTCGCTCTCTCGCGGCCACCCGCCGCGGCCGACGACGGCCCGGACAGTTCGTCGCACCCTCCCACCAAAGTTCCGGGGAAATCCGGGGCGGGCGTACCGCCGACGAGAGCTCTGGAGTCTGGAGCAGATCACCGTCATTTGGCGTTTGACGTGCCAGCCTGCCGGTCGTGTGCCGTTTTGCCCGTCGCCTGTCCTCGTCCGAAGACACCCAGCGCCCGACGGCCATTTTCGAACGACAACCGCGGCCGCCGCCCGGCGTGTTGATAGTGAGTATATATATATAAATATATATATATATATACATACACATACGTAGGTTCGGGTTGCCTGCCAACTTGTTGTTTGCCATAGCGCGCGTACGCGGCGTAGGTATTTGATTCCGCGAGTGGTGCGAAATCGCAGACGGCGCGTCGCGATACGTTTCGCTTTCCGTTTCGACGCTTTCGGCGTCCGCCAATCGTCGTACGCCGCGCGTTGACGGCGGCCATTTTGCGCAACAGGCCGGTCTCGTCCAGTGGTGGCGTTTAGTGTAATATTATGATTCATCGTCGCGCATATAATATTGTTATATATTATATTTATTGCGCGCGTTGTTCGGAGGGACGACACTTTTTCAAATTTTAACTGGTTTTTTTTTTTTTTTTTTTATTTTTTTTTCCCGTTCTTTTTTATAATCCTATCGACGTTATAATTCATTGCTAACGCTAACGATGACATTGAAAAATCTGTACATTCCCTATGTGTTTATATACCTATCCACTATACTTTTACGCGTTTGTGTTTAAGCGACCACACCCTCTCACCTCGAGTCGGGCACGATTTCCCTAGCGTCACCACTGACATTTTTTTTTATCGTAAGCGCACTCCCGTTCACGACGTTTCATCTGATTTCTCATTAGAATATATATTTTGTACCTGGCGGCCATTTTGTGAAGACCGTTCTTGTCGATTGATGTCTTTAATAAAATTATATAGGCATATCGTATATATATATATATATATTAAGAGATATACTTTAAAAAAAAAATAAAATAACTTTTACTCTTAATAAAATCGTTATGATTTATCTCGAAGGAAACTGAAAATATATCAATTTGTAATTCTAAAACTAATTTTATATTATTTTGCTTATATCCAAATGTGTTACTTACAAGTATATACCCCTCCCCCCATCCTAGCACACCTAAACTAGCAGTTGGGGATAACTACTTCAGCGCCACCACTGGAGTTATTTTTTATAATCCACGTTTACTATAAGTTTGTAAAGACGTTTTTACGGTTCTCCCTATAGCGCATGGCGGCCATTTTCCAACGTTCAATCTTGTCCCATGCGTAGATCGCGTCCCAGAACTCGACTAACCCCTAGCGCCGCCACAGAAATTTCTTGTCGTAACGCGCGCTCTTCTCGATGTTTCGTCCATTGTCGTTGGATATAATATTTTCGCGACGATGGCGGCCATTTTCTAACTTCAATCTTGTCCAGCAGTAGCGCTAACTACAGTTTTAGATCCGATATATATATATATATATGTTATAACTTATAGAGTATATTATGTATAAATATATTTATTTTTTTTATTTATATTATATATATGAATAAATTTTATTTTCTCCATCAGTCAAGGAAAGTCCCCTCTTTTCCCCATGCCCAAAGGTGCGAATGCCGGGATGACTACCTTAGCATAGCTGCTAGAATATTTGATTTATAACGATGCACTCATGCACACACCCCTTTCGTTTGTTTATCGTTATCGGCGTTTTAGATTTGTAAATACGGTAACGTGTAAAAACAGGTTATAGTGGTGTATATGGCAGCCGTTTTTTGAATGTATATTTGACTGGTTTGGTTCTAGATGGCGTAAATTATAACGAATATGTTGAATTACCTATATTTTTTTGAAAAACGTTATTTTTAACTTTAACAGTATCTAATAATGCATTAGGTATATTAAAAAATATATTATTTTCTGACGTATCTATACGTCTAAATCCCATACGACCACTGACCTATTACTACCTACCAGTTTATCATGTCTCGAGACTTAAAAAACAATGCGACTTCCATCACATTTTTCCTCATTGCATTGTATATAGTACCTTTACATTGAAGTCACCACATTGTATAAACGTTACTCATTATGTTCTTACTACTCTATTACATTTATAAAATTTATGACCGTTTGTATCATTTTTTTTTTTTTTGTTAGCTTTATTTTTTTCGAGAAAGACGTGAAAAATCCAACATAAAGCGCAAAACATGCCGAGAAGAACTAGAAAACAACGTAGAACAAAGAGAAATTATAAAAAATTTAGTGGCTTTAGCGAATTCAAAATGCTGGAGAAATGTAATTATACTTCATTTGTTATTTTTATTATTTTTGTGACGTTTTATTTTTGAATTGTAATTTCTATTAATTGCAACATTATTTTGTATTAGTAATATTTTCATCTTTCGATTTTGATGGATTTCCACCTCACACGAAGCTTGAAGCTCTTGAATGGCTCTGTCAAAAAATTGAATGCGATTTTTGTGCTTGTTACATGGTTGAGGTGATTTTTATATCTCGTTATTTTATTGTATGAAGTAAAAAATTAATAATATGTATTCGAATATATTTTATAAGATGGCTACAGACGCTTGCTGTACAGCTTGTTTTCAACAATGGGCGTTTTTGAACGATGGTAGAAAATGTCCACTATGCTTAAAAGAGACTAAAGACGCAATGACCAAAGAGCAAGCGAATACACTTTGCAAGTTGGTGGGTTTGAATACGAAACAATTAGGTAAGAATTACATGATTTTTTTTAATGATTTTAGTTTGATTCAGTAGTGATTCTACACGATTTTTATGCTGGTAAATTAAATTCCATCATACTATACAATAAAACGTGCAATAGCTTTTCAGCTGCCGCGAAACCCATTTTGCGAGCGTAATGATGCTTACGTTTTATTTTATAGTTACACCTATATTTTAAAATTTTTATAATATTTGCAGTTCATTCTTTCATTTATCAGTAATTATTTTTTTAATCATCACTTATAAAAGGGATTTAACTTAATCCCAATGAAGGATGGGGTTTCTGCTTTTAAACTAGCACTAATTTTATTTTTAATTAAACATTGTTTTTAAAATGGTTAATCTTAATATATATTTAACTGTGATGTTTAATTTTGTTAAATAACATTTACACTTTTTATTCTAAATAGGTCCACGTCGGCACTACACACAAGCACTCATTAAAAACCGCCTTCCGTTGATCACTGGTGCCATTCCAAATTAATGCATAATCGCTGAAACGTACAAATATTATACTTCATAAATGTAGAATCGCAAATAGTAAAATTATTAATTAACTTAAATTATTTAAAACAAAAAAAATATATTATCTTTTATGCCTTCTAAAATGCTAATAAGTAGGACTGTGAATTTAATGCACTAAAAATCCTTAAAAAATGCATTAAAAATGCCAAAAAAATGCAATAAAATATGCACTTAAAATGCAAAAAAAGGAATATAAAATGCCAAAAATTACAGTATAAAATTCATTTAAAATGGTTTTTAATTTAATTTTTTTATTTATATTGATATTAGGTATAGGATATTAAATATTAGTATAAAAAAGTGTTTATTTAATAAAAAAGTTAAAAAAATTGACATAATATTATATACAGCCTGAGTAAAATAAAAAAAAGTTTTCAAACAAGTTAATTGACAGAATTTGGTTAAAAATACTAGAAAATGAACTAAAAAAGCAAAATATGACCTAAAAATGCAAAAAAATGACCTAAAAAATTAAAAACGTCAAAAAAATGCAAAAATATGCAAAATAAAAGTTTCATAGATGAATTTGTAATTACAATCACAAAAAAAAAAAAATGCACTTTCCTATAAATTCACAGCCCTGCAGTAATAAGGTAAATGTTAATAAAAATAAACTTAGTTCACAATAATTGTAGACGGTAAAATATGATAGTCTGATTATGAACATATTTCCTACATCCTTAGACCGCAGTTACTTTTTAATAATATTTTTTAAACACTTTTTATTAAGCAACTTATTGAGTTTTTAATTTATATTTACAGTTAATAGTAATTTTAGTACAAAAAATGTAGTTTATAGTACAAATTATTCTAATATTTTTATTAAGGAAAATATAAGCTAAGCAGTTCACACAGAATACCAGAATGAATGAATAACTTTTCTTATAGTAATATATATGTATATACACAAACAACTTTTAAATATTTATTGGAAAAATGTCTGGGAACTTTAAATCAAAATTCAATTCTTTTATATTTAAAATACATTCATTCATTCTATTCTTATAATAATTAATTTATATTTTAAGTAATAACATTTGCATTATTACTTATTATACAAAAATAAATATTATAAACAGATGCAAAACTATACATATTAGTATATAACAAATTTTAAAATTATCATTTATATTTAAGCTATTTTAATATAATTATTCAACAAATAATTAAATTATCTCTAACAACTTTACAGTGTGCATACTTGTTTTTAATATTATATAATTTAAGTTTTAAGATTCATTATGTATGTTTAAGTGTACCTAATTAAATTATACAGCTATATATCATATAGAAAAAAACAGCTAAAACAAATTATAATATGTAATCAAGATAACTTTTAATAAATCTGTACGTTTTTCGATTTGAATATTTTTTCTTTTTATTAAAAAAATGTAATTTATAGAGGAGTGGTTATGATGAATGTACCGTTATTTATCTTACAATGATGTGTCATGTGTATTTTTATTTTTGTGTCCTTCATACCATCATAATATTTTGGAGTAAATAAAACACTCCAATCTTACATTTTGAGGTTGGTTTTTTACTTTTTAGTTACAAATTGAATTTAGTTTTAGGCCAAAAAAATAAAATTCCAAATACCTTTTCTAATAATTATGATTTATAATGAACCAATAACGAACAGAAAACAGATATGTTTACACAACACCATTGTTTGACAAAAATGCTTTAATTTTTTTGTTAAAATTTGTAAAGAAATAATATCGTAAGAACTTAAGTTCACCTAATATTTTTACTAAAAATGTTTGTATATGTATATATTATAATAATTGGCTCTGAAATAAATTAAGTTTTATTTAATTTCTGTCAATTAATATTTATTTTTTCTTTATTATAATATTTCTCATCAATTTTTAAAAAAATTCAAAAGCATCAAAAACTTAGTATATATTATTTTTTGACTCGTTTGAAATCATTAATAACACAATCTAATCCCCTTTTTGTCCTCAAAAATAAACTCCCCCTCCCAAAAATAAAAAATATAGGTACTTAATTGATGGTTACTTTTTATATCATTATCTGGTCATTACTTATATGTTTTTATTGATAGCCATTTTTTAATTTTTTTCCCCCAACTTAGTTCTAAGTTAAATTTACAAATTGTAATTCAAAGACCACTTATTGTGACCATGGACCCAATTTGGTTAGAATTAATCACTATCTACATGAACTCCTTTATGTTATATTTAAGGGATAGGTACAGTATTTTAAAACTCAACTCAAGTTATCCTTTTTAAATTTAATTGATTCTCGAGTCAATACTAATGATTTTTAGCTTTTCAATTTTAGAGCCGAATTTATAGGTATACATTACCCCTCAATAATAAATACAAACTCTCTGTACTATTGAAAAAAAATCGAACACTTTCAATTTGTTTTGTATACGATTATGTGTATAAATGAAATTAATATTATATATTTATATACCATATTTTAATAATATTAAATTAAATTAAAACTTAATTTTCCAATTATGATTAAGTTTTATACTAAGAAAATGTATAGTGGGTATGCTATTATATATTATAATACAATCAAAAGTGAATTATTAACGATTTGCCACAACCTTAATTAACTTATCAGTCTCTTATTTTGATTATTTTTTATATTAAAACCTAATTAATTTGTATCACTTCACATTTTATGTATTATGTAAATGTAAAATTAAAATAAATACTATTTCATATTTTAGCCTATATTCTACAATAAAAATATGTTCGCCAAAACTCATGTAAACGCCACTATCGTCACCCGTCTCTCTTAATATTCACGTAGGTATAAACATGTATATAGGTATTTATTAGTAGACGATCTATTCAATTTCGATTATAAATAGATAAGATCACATCTTGGTAACTATATTCTATAAGCAATTAGATAAGCTATATAGTAAAACACAATCGTCTTCGTCATCGACGACTTCCTGAAAAAATAAGTATTATTTTGCAAAAAATAAGCGAATATAAAATACACCGTTCAACATTTTGAAATATTAAAATAAATCTAGAAAATATTGTTATTTTATTATATAAAAACAAAATAAATATTCAATACAATTATGTCGTCTTGTGTGGCCGCATAGTTCGCTGAGCCTTAAATCTTCTGAATACAATTATGCTACATGACAGTATGACACCCATATACCTAATAATATATTATATTATGAATTATGATTTAAATTCTATATTACGTATATATAGTGTAAACGACGATTTTTTTTTAAATTCGAGTTTTTGAATTTATATACTACAACATTTTTGTATATTTCAGTTTTTAAGTCAAATAAATATTTTCGTTTAAACCAAAAAATGTATCACCCTGCAGTGTTAAAAATAAATATCAATAAATTCAAATAGTCATTTACAGTAAAAGCCGCTTATTAGAAACACTTTGGGACCAAGGTGAATTGTGTCAATTAACCGATTGTTTCTAATAAGCGATTGAAAAAAAAAAATGAATAATAGGTACGCGAAAAAAATATGTATGTATGTATGTACCTATATTGTATAATTTAAAAAAGTATGCACAATTGTGTATATTTTACGATATTATGTAAAATATTTATCATTCGTAATTTGTTTTTTTACGTCGAGTAACTCCATGACCATATTTTCATACGAGTAATATTGCCCCTTTAGCTTTGTCACTTATTTTGAGTGCGTATGTGTGTTCAGGTAGAGCTCCAAAATAAAGCCCAGTCTCGTCCGCATTGAAAATATCAGAGCGTGTGTATTGGGCTAGCAAATCGGTCAAATGAGTTTCAAACCACGAATGGTCGCATGAAAATTGGCTAAAATCTTAGTGTTTAGACATTTTTAGATTTTTAGAAAAAGGAAACACTAATAATCTTTACATACGCACGCTGAAGCTAAACTACAAACGGTACGACCAGTACGTACAGAAAGAGCATTCTCGCGATAAATTACAGTAAAAATAAACGTAACGACAGCAAAGATAAAATTGAAGTACATTGGTTATCGCTAGATAATCGGTGTATATGTCAACTGACCTTCTCCCAATTGTTTCAAATAACCGATGTGATGTTTCAATAATCCGATTTATTTTCAATGTTCTAATATACGGCCGATCCGTCCCGAGACATTTTGTTTCAATAACACGATTGTATCAATTATCCGTGTTTCTAATAAGCGGCTTCTACTGTAGATATTATATTAATGCAAAATTCTAAAACAATTTTTGAAATCAAAAAGTGCAGAATTTAATATACCTAGGTATTACCTATTCTATTTTTACTACTATTATTAACTGTGGGCGCAATTTACAAATACTCGTAATATGTTGCAGTGTTTATGGTCATTTTCACAGGTCCAAAATTAGTGCCGATGGAATTTACGGGTTTTCGGAGGGGAAAAAAAACTGTACCGACGCGGCATTTATAAAAAATGTTATCTATGGAATTTACAATCTCCTGTTACGGGAAATTTTGAACCTCCTTATTTATCCCAAAAGGGAAAAATGTTTCAAATCACACTCTTGAAAAAAAAAAATTGAAGCAATGAAGCTACAAATGTAGCAGATCGCGCATCTCGCGTTGCCAGCACTGTATGCAAAAAAATCCAGGGACCGTGTCCACCAATCAGCGAGTGGTATCTGCCAAAACCACTTGTAATACCGTACAAGATATTCTGTAGACATTTGAGGCTAATATTGTATCATCAACCGGTGTTGTTTTATTGGTCATACGGCGAAAGGACATATTCAAGTTTTCAACGGCCAGAGAATTTTGTTTTACGCCATTATTCAAGCCTAGTGCAGTGTTCGTATACTGGTAAACTAAACTGGTGCAGAGTAAGTAGGTAGGTATATCGCTCGGTTTCATTTTATTTAATAATATTTTATCATAATTTACAAATAATAAAAAGGAATAACTTAACATTTTTTTCCCCATTGAAAGGTATAATAAAACGAAATTACTTATTTTTTAAATTTATATATGCCTATTTATTTATTTGAATTAAATAAAAACAAAACAGTACAATTTTGTAGGTACATTTAATTTGTAAGTAATAATAGAATTAAGTTTAGCTGTATAATCTTGAGAGTTTAGCCACCCACACTAACAA